AATTTTGAAAATATAAGCCTATCACAGTGATTTATATATAAGGTGATTAGATTGTACAACTGATCAGAATAATAATATTAGTAACAACAATTTGTTATTATACATGTGATATGTGTTAAGAGATTGTAACTTTTAATTTCAAAAATGTTACAAAGTGCTTAATACCCTCTTCCATAAAATCAGGATATTGAACAGGTATGTAGTGTGAAGGGCTTAATAGAAAACCTACGGAGAATCTAATTGGTGGATGGTAACTAGCACAGGACGCGCATTTCGTCCTATTTGGGACTTCTCATCTGGATGTACGTGCACTCCACAGTGAGTGATGATGTTCCTACTGAGGCTCGAATCCAGTGGCAAACACAGGACGGAATGCGCATCCTGGATTCCACTGCTAGTCACCATCCACCAATTAACCTCTAATTACATTCCCAGACATCGTAGAAGCATCCGCACGCGAAGCCGACATATCAACCTGAGACTGAGCATTTCGGTCCAATCAAGCAACGGGAAAATCTTTAATTGAATTAAACTACGGAGAATCTCGTATACAAACTTCGTAAGTATGAAGTTGTAACATTCTGGAATTTAAAATAGTGTGTAGATGAAGTCATCCACTGGTCAACAGTTACGTATAACCAAAACGTTAACTGACAAAGATACGTACAGATTAAAATATAAGTATGGAGGGAATAAAATGAATCAACAGAAGACCGGTAGATAATTAATGCACACTAAAGGATGTATCTTTTATCAAGTTGAAGGACATAGTCAGATGAGGTAAATTTTTTTAGGGAGACAGTGACAATAGAAAATTTACAAACGAAATATTATAATGGTACATCTTACACTACGAAACACTGGTACAGCTCTGGGTCTTTGAATCATTGTTTCATCTATCATACAATGAGGTAAATCCAAACTTATTTTGAAATTCATTGACTATGACGGATGTTTTAGTTTTCGAAAAACATTTAACTCGAAAGCACTTTGAATTTTGAAGTTACCAAATTATGAAAAATTGTTTATTCAATATTGATGGTAGGATAAACTTAAATCTAATTTATTCCTCTGCAGAAGACTTCTTAAAAGTAGTTCTATGGTTGTGTATACGAGGTACAATATATGAAAAGGGTTGAAACTTATGGACAGATTATTTTAATTGAACAAAAGGTGTACTTCCTCGTCTAATTCTATTGAAGCAAAACCTTTTATATGAGCAGCTAATTTTCATATTTATTTAACTTCACTTTGAATCTTTGTTTCTTTATTCCTTGACGTTCCGAGTGGAACATATGGCTTCACACTAGAGCTTTGAAGTTTCGATAGCAGTGGTTTTATTTTTACGGAGTGGGGGTCACTAGTCTCACACCAAACCTTCCCTCTTTATCGGACTTACCGCCCGCTTAGAGAGGTCTAGGAGTGCGACAGCCAGGGATCGAAGCCTGGACCACCTGTGTGATTAGCGAGCACTCTACCATTGTGCCACCGACGCAAAGTATGTTGCTGTTCGATGGTCGGAGGCAATAGACAGGAATCCCTATTTTATCTAGGTTTCGAGCTAGTTTGCACTCACCACTCAACAAGGCATATCTGTGACCTTCAGGGAACTCATGTCTTTTCTGAGATTTGAACCCGTGTCACCCAGTGCTGCAATCAAAGGCGTTACCACTGAGCGATTCGGACCCTTGAATCTTTGTAATTTATGTTTTTCTGACTCGTTTGGGACTCACATACGTTACCTCAACCAATATGATTGCACTTGAGGAATTATTCTGATGACGAAAACTGTGAGATACATACAAAAGAAGCTGTTGTCGTCATCTAGCAATGCATATTTAATATCGTTGTACAAACATAAGGATGAAGTCACCTCAGAGGGAATTTCTTCCAGGTAGATATTAAGTTACTTGTTAAATTCTTTAATCAATTTTTGCCTCATCATGTTTGATATTGTTGTGAAACATTATATATATATATCAGAAAAATGTGATTTGTGACTAATTATGTTATAAAAAGACAAGTTTCATAAAAACTCGTTAGTGTCAACCTCAGTGAGATAATAATCTGATGAGTAGACATTAAATTTATGCCCTGTGATATTTATCAAGTCTGCCTCCGCCTGCATTACGTGCTTTGGTAAACATAATCAAGTTTCAACTTAAATTTATATAATATAAATGAAAACAACAAAACGGATTAATACTTCATGATCGCTTTCGTACTTGCAACAAGCACCAATTGTGAAGAAAACAGTATTTGAATGAATTCATAAATTTTGGTATTACTCGTCAGTTGAACATTGTACAAATAAGATTGTTTTACTAGTGTACAGGTTCAATGTACATACAAACATATGCACATGGTGGCGAAAAAACCAACTGAAGGTTCAAAATTCAATCCCTACTAAATAATCTCTCAGGTTTTCAATAGTTCTCTACTTGTTACACATTCGTGATCAAAATTGAAATAAGTATCACTTTCAACAGTGCGTCGGTGGCACAGCGGTTAGGACGCTCGCCGACCATGCACATGGTCTGGAGTTCAATTCCCTGCCGACGCACTCCCAAACCTCGCTAAGCCAGTAATAAAAGCTGGTAAAGAGGAAAGGCTAGACATGAGGCTAGCTACCCCATCCTGTAAAAATAAACACTGCTATTGAAACTTCAAGCCTCTAGCTTGAGGCCACCCTATGTTCTACTGGAAACGTAAAGGAAAAAAGTCATTTTCAACAAATTTAAGATCCTACATAGCACATATTGCGAACAAGGAAAATTTTGAGTAAACAACTGTTTCCAATAGCTTCGTGTAGAGACTGAGGCACAAGTTGTTAAAAACAACTGTTCGCTTAGAATTTTTCTCATTCTAAAAATGTGTGGTCGATAAGAAGTGATAGGTAATTTGTTAACGTCATTAGGAAGTGAATAGCATTCATCAAAGTGTATAATATACAAAATGGAGTTATTATAGTAGAAATAATTGGAATTATAAACAATCAGATTTGAAAATAATGAAATATGAAAGAAATTTTCAAATACGTTAACATATTTAAACTATGCAGGACTAAGTAACAAGCTATTAACGGATCTGAGCTAAACTCAAAAGATAGTTTATACACTCTCCACACCAGTAGTAATATTCAACTATAGATCGTATATTTGTTGAAATTGAAACTTATTTAAAACAAGCAATAAAGGTTAATAAAGCAGGATTTAATGAATTCATCAAATTTTGGTAGAACTCTTCAGCTGAATACTCTACATACACGGATATATACACCAGAAATTCATTGGGGGATATAGGATTGATAAGCAAATAAACTGCGTTGAATCAATCATGCAGAAAGACAGGTGCGAATGTTTTCCAGGTCATGTTCAAATAGATGAGGGAGAGAGAGTACGAGAGATCAAAATAAGGATAAATTGCATTACGCTTCAATTACGTCACTTAGATAAACAATTAGACATTAGAGAATATAACAAGAATTGCAAACAGAGTAATATCAGCAGTAATAGTTATAATAACAATAATAATAATAGTGTTGAAGTGAGTTAAGATAATCCTACTGATAAAGGATAGTTTTAAATGAATCAAGAATAATAATAATGATAATAATAAAAATAAGAGGTAGAATAATAAGTAAAACGTATTACCATGGTAGATTCAGAGCCACGACCATCTCCTTTTGTACATAGAGACCTGGTTTATAAAACTCGAATTGAGTGTATTTGTGGAAGCAAATAAATACTCGCATGGTGGAGCATTTGCCAAAATGGTTGAAAGCAGCTGAGTGCGAAGTGCCAGAATCCTCGATAATAAAACATCTTGTGGACGACGGACATGATATCGACGCGGTCAAGTCATTCACTATTGTCAGCTGACAAAGAAACAGGAAGATGCTTGCAATTGCAGAGGCTTGTGCAATTCAGTCTTATATCTCCCAATGTAATTTCAAAAGTATATATATCCGTGTATGTAGAGTATTCAGCTGAAGAGTTCTACCGAAATTTGATGAATTCATTAAATCCTGCTTTATTAACCTTTATTTCTTGTTTTAAATTCGTATCGGGAAATAAATGTTTTCAATTCTTGATGAAACTTATTTGTTTTGACGAGTTGATCACGGATTGATATCAGTCAGAGAACCATTGTAAACCAGTAGGGAGTACTGGACAGCTGTTTCATCCGTTTTTAGGAATAATCTGCACTACGCATTCACTGCTAGGGTTTGAACCCAGGACCTTCCGGTTGAAAGGCAAGCTCGTAGACCATTCAGTCACTGGCAACCCGATTCATTGGTCAGCCCATGAATTCTAACTTCTACCAATTCGTGATTTAAGGTGACCACTAACCAATGTCATCGGTGGAAATCCATCTTCACACTTGACTGGATAGACCTCACTGGTCAGGACTTCTCACTGGAACTCCAGGAAACTCCATCCTGTAGCAAATCACTAGTGAGTATCAGATTAATTTTCAGTAGTTGGTTTGTAAAGATTAGATCCTTACAAACCAACAATTGAAAAATGAAACTTATTTGTTATCACGTGTCCGGATGTAAACAATGCTATTTGTAGGGTATCTATCTGAATAGTCCTATAGAAATTTATAAATTCCTTAAAAATACTGTTTTTATTCTCACATTTGTTGCTTATTTTAAAATTTACTATGGGAAAGAAATATTTGCGGGTTTCATACTCTGCTAACAATTGGATTTTTATCACTCAAACACTCCTATAAATAAACACAATATTCCATTGCACAAACAAAAGAAATCAACAAATCTAGCGTTGTTTATCGGATACTTTATTTTTTGTATATTATCGTAAACTTTCATTCTATTCAACCTGTTTCATAGACGAAAAGAAGAAGAAGAGGAAAACTGATGAAACTAAAGCAGGTTCCTGTTCCTATTAAATTAGAATTTCCGTATTACATGCTGCGTATTAACTGATTTAACCAAATAATCAAAAAATATTTTTGAGAACAGAATTACTCACCTGATTGCATTTTGACCCAGTGTTGATAAGGAAGAGAACAGTGATACAACTGTTGGCTTAGTTATATAGTTAAACACATAGAGGTGATATTGACACAACAAATTCATTTCATCTATTGAAAAGGTTGTTTTCGTTAGCGAGCTGAGACAATTTTCTGGTGTTCTACTGATTGGATCAAGAAAGATAACCAAAAGGCTACTTAAACAATCATTTTTCTCTTCATCAGTATCAGTTTCTATAGAAAGTAGGATTTCACTTTGATGTTTAGTAGTATATGCATAAAGAAGTTGATCCATTGTTTGTGAGAATGTTTCGCGTAAATCATTTTTCCAGATCTGTAAATTTATGATTACAGAGAAAAAACAGTTTATAATTATAGAGAAGAAAGAAATAAGTATATCATATATACGACAATTTTATTATTATTATTACTGTATCCTTTAATTCCTAGAGGAACATAGGGCTTCAGCTGTGCGTCTCCATTGAGTTCGGTTCTCTGCTAGAGTCTTCACTTGGCTTCAAGTCTGCCCACACGTTTTCATCTCCTCTTCACATGACCTCCTCCAAGTCACCCTTGGACGACCAACTCGCCGCTTCCCTTTCGGGTTCCACTCGAGCGATGGCTTGTCTAGTGATGTCACTTGATGGTTTCCTCAGAGTATGACCAGCCAATCCATCTCCATTTCTTCTTGCCTATTTGTTTGACAATCGGTTCCTGCTGTGTTGGTTCGCTCCCAGAGATCTCTGTTGTTGATCTTTTCCGGCCATCTGATCTTGAGTGGTATGGAGAGAAGACAGCTGTTGCTGATGAAGGTCTGTAGTTTATTTGAGGTGTTCTTTATGACGCGCAGTGCAAGTCTCTGATCCGTATAGTGAGTAGCACTGACTGCACATTGGAGTTGAAAATTCGGATCTTAATTTTGATGCTGAGTGCTGCTGACCTCCACACTGACTTGAGAGTAGTGAAAGCTTGTCTTGCTTTTCGGATTCTTAATTTGATATCCTCGTCAGTTCCTCCTGTAGTTGAAACGATGCTTCCCAGGTAGGTAATAATCAGTAAAAAAATAATATTTATAAGAACCAACAAAGTTGACTTCAATATAATGGAGAAGATGGAAGACATTGTTTGCTTTCCAGATGAACTATCCAGCTAGGAGAACAAAACTGAACCAAACCTAACTTCTTAGATGTAACAGAACCATGATTGGTTACAGGATTTCATCATGAGCTGACATTGGTTAGAGAACCATTGGAAAACCAACTGGGATTACTGCCAGAGAGCATTTTTGTCAGCCTAGTCTGGGGCTCTCTATCAGTACGCACCCACCACCACGGTTCGAACCCAGGACCTTCTGGATCCAATGGCTGGTCCATGAATTCTAAATTCTGCTAATTCATGACATGGAGCGATCACTACTCACTGTCTTCTTCGATGAGTTACTGCCTCAGCTTCAATCTGCTGTAACCTACTGGTCACGACTTCCTACTAGAACCCTTGTTACTGCCTAATTGAATAGCGCAAGTCGCTAGTGAGCATCTCATTGATATTTAGCAACTCATACTGATAATTTTGAGCTAAGTATTTGTCGAAACATGTAGATTAATTTTAAGACTAACATAAATATTAGAGGATTCTATACACAAGGCTGTTTATTTTCACTTGAAAACAATGCCTAATTGTTTTAATAGGAGAAAGAACTTCTTCATAATGGAATCTTTAAATCGTGTCGCCTGGATTCTTCTTTGCCACCACAAACAGTTTACCCTTAGACATAGTTATTTATTAGGCCTTCATAACTATTGGGTGTTTAATAGCGCGCGACTAAAATTCACCCCTTGATTGTTGCTGTCGTTTCTCCTACCTTCTGTTTACTGTAACTGACAGGTTCTAATACTGAATTTATCTTGACTTAGCTGGCATAGCTGTAGTGGATAACTGACTAGAAAGAATATATTCCTCTTCTCACTGAATTGTATTCCGGAATCGATTTTACGTTAAGGTATCTGACTGCGCTTATTCTTAATGGTGAATAATTGTATGCAATCATTCATGTTGTATGTATCTAGAAAGCCGTATAGCTGTTGGTAAAATATTAATTAACTGTGCATGGTCGGCGAACGTCCTAACCACCGAGCCACCGACGCACACGGAACCACTGAAAGTCAGCCTACTGCTAATTAGTGACTCACTAAAGAATGATACTGCCTGAGGTTCCAGTGGAAAGTTGTGACCAGCGGGGTCTGAGCAGTTGGTTGTGAGGACAAAAACTGACCAGTGATATTCTCTAGTGGTCGCGCTACATTTCTCGAACTGGTAAAAGTCAGAATTACTGGCTCATTGGATTCCATCTCAGTGGTTCAACAGTACGCCAGCTAGCCTTGTAACCTGAAGATCCTGGGTTCGATCCTTGGTGAGGTCATGGGTGCATACTGATGAAGAGTCCTAAACAGGGGAAGGGACAGCTGTCCAGTGCTATTTTGTATTCGACGGTTATCTAACTGAGGCCAGTCCGCGATCAAAACTCAGAGCCATATTTCTTGCTTTGATAAGTTGTAAGGCAGTTTGTGTTCAAACGGTGATCATATGACTCATTGTTAGTGATTTAAATCACTGTTTAGAACAAGAGGAGTAAGCTGTCTATGATTTAAGAATTATTCAGGTAAGGTATGACTCAAAATTGAATCCAGTGGGAAGTAAGTTAACCAGCGACTTTGGATGAACTTTATGTGAATCCTTGTTTGACCATTATCCTTTTACAATTGTTTAATCTTACTTCCATGCTTAGTATGACTTCACTATTCCTCTTAGAACATTCTATTGATGGCCATACTGTAAGCTTTATTATTCCAGTGAAAGTTTCAATGAAAAAGAACAAAAGGGCTTTATTCACGAATAAAAACGTTATATCAGAGAAGAGAAACAGTTCAGGTCCCCTCTTGAAACACCACAAATTAGGTTATCCCATAAAGGTACAAATAAATGGTTAAATACAAGTAGTTAAAGTGCATTACTGTTATTTTTTGGAGGAAAGTTGAACAAGAAAGTGAATATAAGGTAGCATCATGATCTCATGCCTACGGTTTACTTCGCATAGTGGGAGAGCAGTTAATTTAACATCAAATTTTAGGGCGCTCATATTTTACAAATAGAGATGGTTACAGAAATCCCTTATATGATGTTAACAAGCCATTGAAAATGTGAAATGAATGCAGTTAATTCTACTACTAATAATAACGATATTGCTGCAGAAAGAATAGACAGATAATGTGTTTTCTAAATGCTTCGTGCAATAATAATCAAGTGAGATTTGATATTTCTCATAGACCCAAATATTAAAGCGTAAACCATACTTGTTGAAAATTCCACTTTATGCTAAATGAAGTTTGGAAAAGCTAAACTGCATTTTGTACTACTAGCTGATGAGAGTCATCGGGCTGCAGACTTTCATATACAGCTGCCTTCACTTCACGATGAAAATCAGGTTGTCTAAACGAATGTACAACAAGGAAATCTGACAGACACAGAACCAATCAAGAACCTATTGTCCAAAACATATGCTGATGGAAATTGAGATAGCTTGAACACATGCTGAGGAGACCGATGTGCAGCATCGTGCTCAAGGCAAGCCGTCGATTCAGATGCAACTGGGAAACGACGAGCTGAGCATTGATCCGTGGGTAAAATGGAGGGGGTCGTGCGAGGACGAGATAACAGCTTATAGGCAATCATGCAGTCAGTGTTTACAGATATTTTTCCAATAAAAAACAAGTAAAACTTACATTTATATCTTGGTCAAGAGCTATTAGTAAACTGTTCATCTGACTCAGCGATCCTATTAAACGACCCAAACGTATAAGAAAATTTCTGTCAGCATCCAGTAGACCATTTTTAATTTCAGCAAGATTATCAATATTACTGGAGACTTTAGTTGTTGACTTCGTAGTAGTTGTTGGTGGAGATGACAAAAAACTTGAATTGACTGGATTAAATAATTCTTTAAATCCTCTCATTAATTCATCATTAACACTTTCACCGATATATCCAAACCAGAATAAAATACAGCTTATTATTTTATTGAATACAATCTCAACAAGATTTTTGAAACATTTTATAATATTTTCAATATGAATAAAAAACATTTCAATATGCGTGGCTTCTTTGTAAAAGGCTGAAATCTGATTGGTTAGTTGCTCGATATTCTCTCTTGTTACGGCAAAGTCTTGACTTTGTTGTCGATAAGACAGCGACGAACTCCAGTTGCTTCGATGCATAGTGTATTCACTGAAAATCATATTTCTTAATAAAGTAAGAAATCTTACAAATGTCAAGTCTAAACGTCGACTTAATTCATATACTTTGTATATTTTGAGCAAAAGGGAAGAATACGAATCTGGGATAGAGATGTCGAATCTGTGCACTATTGAAGATATACCTGAAAATAAAGGGATAAAACAAATCTAGTTTAAATTATAACAGTAAAGAGAGTTTGTGTTAACATTGATTTGAAAATACAGACGATGAGATATAGCTAGAGTGCAACAGATGTATGTTGCCACCCTTTTGATTTACGCAGCTGATACTTGCACGTGTTAATCAATAAAACAATCATATGCGCTCACAATTATAAGGTTGTCTAAAACGGATTCTTTCACGATTCTTCCAACTTAGAATGATAACGCGTTATGAACACCTCAGTAAACGATGTTATGAAAAATGTGTGCATTCACAGAATAAGTATACTGTAGTGTCGCACACTTAGAACAGCCTTGGCTTGACAGTTGACAGTTTTATTTACTCCTTTAAGCTTCCTGTTTGACTATCAACCCTTCAGCATGTTGAAAATGTCGAGTGATTGGTCACAAATCGATAACTCCTAGATTAACAATATACGCATTTTATTAAAAATGGTGTATAATGGGTGTAGACGTGTTGACGAGGATCTAACATTTCTTTGCTAAATTTGTCTTTTATAGCTTTTTAGCTAGATAGCGTACTGAATCGATGAACTTAAGATATTCACAAGTCTTCATATATCTTCACAGCCATATGAAGTTAAGATCAGAGGATTTGGCTTTACATTATCATAAAACTGCCTGTATCTTCTAAGGAAGTATAAAAAATGAGATATTCTACTACTATAGAATGAATTTATCATTTCACACGCTTTGTACTGTCAAAATGAGGTTTTATTTCTTTTTTTGGCACTTTATCCACTCTTCATTCGTTAAATCTCTAACAGATCCTCAAAGTTCACCACTTGGTATCTGTAAAAGAGGAACGTTTTCAAAGCAGTCTTTTTCATACAGATGTTTTTAAGAATATTACCTTCGTAACCGTCTTTTGCTAAAGCATCCAAGTTAATGTATGGACAGACAATTTCCGTGTACCACTACTGCAAGTCGTCTCTCCTTTTTAGCTTCACCATCAATAATATTTTTCAGTGAATGAAAATTCACCTATGTTCTGAAAAAATACAAGGCACACAGGCCTGATTTGTTAGCTGTCATTATATATGTCTGTGAGTATCGAATCTATTTTATACTGTCAGATTGCATAAAATTGACAATACTTTGTATTATTTTATGTTCCAGTGACTTTCATGGTAAATACCGTTTCCCAGTCATTGAAATTTGTTTATTCTGAATCATTTCTTTAAGTAAAAAATGCGAGCAATGACAGGTATTCAATAACGAAAAGCTTACAAGCTGAATGTATCTATCAAAAATTGATCTTTGTCATGCACACAGATTTATTCATATCTAAAGAACTAAAGTGAACTACCATGCATAGTGAAAAAATATTTACTGTTATTTGCATTTTTTCTGACTATATGAATGTTTATATTGTCTTTTTGAGGTTGTTTTAGGAATTACATTTTTGTGCTAAAAACTTGTGTTACTTTTAAGTTAATTAAAGGCTCATGACGAGTGGGTCATCTCACGGCGACGTGAAGGAGATCGTTTGAGGGGGTGACAGACTATGGACTGTCGTGAGCTTAAATAAAGATATGTTGACGATATTTTTATTGTCTGTGGAAGCAGATCAAAAGATGTAGACCTGTTGATAAAATTCAGGTGATGTAATTCGTTTCTCAGCTTCACAATGGAACACGGGAAAAATGGTATTATAAAATTCCTAGACGTTTCTCTGGTGAAAATGAATGTTAACACAGTTGAAAGATTTATATTCAGAAAGTCTTCATGGACAGCATAGTAACAAAATAGTAAGAACAATGTTCATCAGCAGAGAAAAAAACATTTGTCCTCACAGTACAGTTGAACAAGTCATAAAGGCTCTGAAGGATATTTTATATAAGAATGTATATACTGAGAATTTCATTCATAAATGCTCTGAAACAATGGACTCTTTTCAAAACTATCCAAACAGTTTCGAAAAAATCTGTATATGTCAATTTGCCATTCAAAGGAGATGATGTACAAGAAGTAGTCAAATGAAGACTCGATACAGCTTTCAAGAGAACTTATTATGCTGCAAAACTTGTCTTCCTTAACACCAACAAAAGAGTGCTTCAACAACAAGTTGAATGTATTTGTGGAAACAAATACATAGGTCGTACAGAAAGGCGACTGTCTACTGTCATGATGAATCATTTGCCAAAGTGGTTGAATTTAGCCGAATTCACAGTGCGAGAAAGCTCTAAAGCAAGGCGTCTTGTGTACTACCAACATGATATTGACGATATCAAGTCATTCACTAGTGTCAGCAGACAAAGAAACAGGAAGATGCTTGTAATTGCGGAAGCTTGTGCAGTCTGAGTCTATAAACCAGGTCTCAGTGTACAAAAGGAAATGGTCAACACCCTTAATCTACCATGGTAATACGTTTTACTTATTAACTGTTATTATTATTAATATCGTTAACAATTTATTCTACCTTATTGCTATTCCTGATTTGTTTAAAACTATCTTTTATCAGTAGCATTATCTTAACTCGTTTTAGCATTATTATTATAACTATAACTATTAATATTACTCACTTCACAATCTTTGATATATTCTCCAATGACTAATTGTTTATCAAAGTGATGTAGTTGAAGCGATATGCATTTTATCTTAATTTTAATCTCTAATACTCCCTTCTCCTTATCTATCGCACCTGTCATTGTGTGGGATTCATTCAAAGCAGTTTATCTGCTAATCAATGCTATATCTCCCAATGTATTTCTAAAGTATATATATATACTTGTATACAGAGTATTCAGCTGACGAGTTCTACCAAAATTTGATGAATTCATTAAATCCTGCTTTATTAATCTTTGCTGCTTGTTTTAAATTTGTATCGGGAAATAAATGTTTCCAGTTAAAGAGGATAGCAGAAAAAAAGGATAAAGTGTAGGCATCCTGTTGAAGCCGTATGTTCCACTCATAGTTGGTACACCATGATGGCTTTATATTATTTCATAAATACATAAAAGTAGATATAATTATGAAAAGCACTTACAAAAATTTATATAAAATTTGATAATTCCATAGAACCAGTTATTCATACTAAGTTTCACAACATTTGAGTTTTAAAACGACGCAATTACAAATAAATTTTACTCTGTGAAAATAAACTTAAACTTCCGTTACTATTATTCTAATTATTCATAGATTTTAATTACAATAATTCAATAATTATGAGATAGCTGACTAAATGGAGTTTGAGTTGTAGTACTTCCGGTATTGTAAAATGAGTTACATATTCTGGTATTAACCACTGATATTCCTTGTTAGATTTTAAGAGAAACTGGTAGTGTTTATCGTATTGAAAGTGGTTCTTGTTTCCTTTATAGTGTCAGTAGTGTTAATAATCTGGATATCAGTCTGCAGTGTAGAAGTAGTTATTGGATGGATGTTCTGAGGAGTTCTGGATAGTAAGTAAGTCCACCATGTGACAGTGAAGTGGATGTTTATCGGCACCACTGGTTAGCGGTAGCGCCACGTCATGAACTGACAGAAGTCAGAGTCTACTTGTCACTGAATTCAGATTCCGTTGCGGAATGATCATCTGTCTCACTTTTTAACCTCGTGGAGATATGTATGCGTTCCACACTTGTACAAAACAGCTGTCCGCTACTCGCTGAATTTTATTGATTGCTTAATTTATGCTAGATCACGACAGTGTACATTTTTTTCAATTATTATTAATAAACATGTTTCTGAACAAAAGGTTTATATTCAGTACAAAGTTTTAGCTTTTTTATATTCTGTTTGTATAGAATCCTGAAGTTAAATAGTACTCTGTATCACTCTACAGAACATAGTCCACCCTAAAACATGCTGCAACCTCCAACTGTTTCGTCCCCAGTTGTATGCTGGAAGTTATTCAGACTAATAGTTATAAAAATACACTTTCTGTTTATAACTACACAAAAGAAATTCACTAGTTTCCACAAGATTAAATACTTAATAAATTGCGGACTACTGTTATTTGTTTTTAAGGAATCATGTAGAATACTTTATCCAAGAAAGATAAATTTATTTTTTCAATATTCTTAAGTGTTTGGGTTCTGAAAGTCAAGATAACTGGGATATTCCCTCAGAAAGTTAGAGGTATCTAATCAATAAAAAATATATGCAGTACAAGTGAAATATGTGTTCAAAAAACACTAACGCGATTATCAAGATTAATTCTGCTTTCACCTTAACAATAATTAAGAAATAATTGCAAGCACAGGATGACTTAATTATCACAGGTGTACATGTTACATTTTGCTGTTAGTAAAAATATTCCATAGGAGAAAGAGAAAATTTAAGACGTGTAAAACGAATTTCACAAACTTGATATGTAGTACATGTTGTGTACATAACTGGTAAATTGTTTCTATTTCTCAAGAGATGATACCTTTTTACAGTCAAAAACTCATAAGTGAACAAAAATCATACTGATATCTATCACTGACTATCAAGGTAGCTTTTAATAAGTAGTAAATATGAACAAAGGAAAATTTTGAATAATTGTAAGGCATTGGAAACATTTCAGTGGAAGGTTACTTCCCTCACAGTTTCATAAACAAGAATATCAATTCAAAAAAGGCTACTGAATAGTTTCATATAGCTCTACTCACCTTTTGAATTTAAAAGTGATATGGAGGCGTGAATTCTGCAAAAACCCCTGCCGAAGTCTCTGAGTAAAGCTCATTTTTCTACAAACATTTAAATAGTTCTTTTTATGACGGGGGACTGTTAGATTAGTCATGAAAGATAATCTCGATTACTGGACTACACCATAGTGCACACAAACCGAAGCATGCGTTTACCCGTGAAATAGGATTATGAGCATCACTAAGTTTGCTTGACAAAGGAGGATTATAGGTGTGTATTCACTTCGATAGTGCGTCGGTGGTAAAGCGGTTAAGACGCTCGCCGACCATGCACATGGTTCGGGGTTCAGTACCCGGCCGACGCACTCCTTTACCTCGCTAAGCCA